CCTCCGGAAGTGATCTCGAATGCGACGCAAAAGGCGAGTGAAACAGCCGCCTCCGTTAGTGGGAGGAACGGGTTCACCCCGGCGGCGTTTCTCCCAACGCAGTATAGGCCGCAGAGGGATGCAGAGGACCGCGGAGAATATGAGACTGCAGCCCGCCAGAATAAATGTGTAGTCGAAGCTCTGGAGCATGTCATAGAAGCCAGCTAGATGCAAAGTAGAAAACAAGGAGACATTTCAGACAGGGAGAACTTAGGTGCGTAAACCGCGTGACAGCATACAACCCGAGGTGGAATGCGATTCAAATGAAAATAGATGCCTAACAGAGAGTATAACCCAAAGCCCACGTACTTTTGGGGACAATTACGTTAGAAATGACTTTTAAGGAAATGACAATAGCAATAATCCGCAACCATCCAAGGAAAATGGGGATAGGTTTATGAGTAGGCCGAGGTAAGGTTGAGCTGAAAGTTTGTGTTAAGGGAAGTTAAGGGTGCGTTTAGACTAAGGGCTATGGGTCAAATTTAGCTAGAGTTAGGCTTTAGGGTAAGGCTAGGGTTACGATTAGGACTACGATTTAGGTATAGGTTCAAACTATTGTTAGGCAGATAGCATCGCCTAGCATAGGGAGACTGGAATAAGCATTTCTGGCTCATAAGCCGTCATCAGCAAGTCATACCCAGCCCCAATTGGTGCAGCACCCAAGGCTTGTACTCGCGACTTTTTGATCAAAAGTATCATGATTTAAACATCGAAACAAGAGCTCTTTGTTGTCGTTAGTTATGACTGGTCGATGATAAACAAAGGTCGCGGGTTCGGATCTCAGGGGTCGACGCCCATGGGATTGGGTATGACTGGCTGATGACGGCTAATGAGCCGGAAATGGTCATCCAGGTCTGCATCGTCTTTGTCGGTTCCACTGCCTGGAAGGTCTTTAGATTGAGCTCCACGGCGAAACCGAACGAGTACGTTCCTTAACCACATCGACGAATGCCACACTATTAACATCTAACAGTCATTAGATCAGTCTTCATCACAAGTACTAACTCAAAGACCAAACGCGCGTTTCATCGATATTTCTGATGCTACAACGCGCAGATGCAAGCGGTTTGGGTCGCACAGCGTTTTATGTAGGACATTTAAATACGAATGTCACTGTTACACAGTGCTTTCACTATTGCACTTTCATACTCTTAGCAAGATGAGTCCTCGGGAGTGGTAATAACGGTTATGTAGTTGCGGGCGCACAAAGCAATTCCTGGCTCTTTAGTTGTTATACCCGAGCTCAGGTGGTGCACCATCCGAGGCGAGAACCCGCGACCTTTTGATTAAAGTCCAATACTCAAACCATTGATTAGTCTTCAACATCCCAGCTACAATCAATGGTCTCCGAGCCGTCAGTTCGAATTTCACTGAACTACTCCTACCTGTTCCATCCTGGTAATCTCCCTTCCTGGCCCTGGCCCCTTTCAGTCACAAACGGAAGTAAAAAAACAGCTTCAGCTTTACAGTTTCTAATGCAATCAAACATACAGTAGCTGCCGAAGACCATGCAACTCTAATTATGAAATTTGGCTGGACACTTTAGCATATATTTGAAAACACTATTGCATTCACCACATCAATGTAATCTTCGGATTTAATTTGCTCTGCATTGCGCGCCCGAGCTTCCTTCCTCCAAGAACTGTGCATACCCGAGTCCCCTTCCTCTATTATTTTTATGTTACTGTTGACCCCTTTGTTCCAGTTGACTGCACACTGGCGTTCAATGTAGTCCTCCCGGTCAAGCACCCCTTAAGTGCTTGCTTGAATACTGTCCCCACACCCCGTTCAGCTCTCTCGACCTTCTACAGGAAAGTGGACGAAACACAGCAGCTGTCGTGCCGAGCTATCCT